TGTGGTTCACACTGACATTCCACTCCTCCATGAGCATGGTCCGCAAAGTTATTGAAGTATTCAACAGCCTCATTGCGGAGTTCGAAAACACTCTCGGTGACGACGACCGGATAATCTTTGTCTTGACGCCTCTGCCGACGAACTACGCAGGACACGGCGAGAATATTCTCGGTATCAACGATGCGGGTTACGAACCGAGTATGGTACTTCAGGCTGAAGCTCTGCTCACCACACCGGAGCATAAGGAGTTGTTGACAGAAGCTCTTCAGCGAGCAGTCGAAAGCACTATCTTCCTTTGGTCTGCCACCACGCACCAGCGTACGAGGTGGAAATACCTCAACTACGCTAATCCCCTCCAAGACGTGTGGTGGACTATTGGAGAGAATAGGTTCCTTTTGAATCGTACGGCGCAGGAATATGATCCCACCGGCTTCTTTCAAACTCGGGTTTCGGGTGGATTCAAAATATCACAATCGGACTAAGCTCAGCAAAGGCGATGTGCCGAACCATCGATAGTTTTAATGAAACTCATGTATTACTAAGAAATCATATCCAACAATAAACTGCACTGATATCGCAGTAGTGGCTGAACCTATGAGGGCTTGATACCCTACAAGTCATCGTTCACTGGTACAGCTCAGGGTAGGCTGCCTTGATCATGTCGGAGCCCTTCTCACCAACCATGTAGACCGCATTCTGGATGCGGCAGTCGGGGATTACCGGGATGACGGAGGCATCAATCACACGCAAGCCTTTGACACCAAAGACTTGCAGCTTGCCGTCGACGACACCCTGGTCGATGCTGGGAGACATGCGAGTGGTTCCGCAGGGGTCTGTTGAAGAGTCCGCAGTCAGTTACACAATTCTCAACGCACTCCAAGAAACTTGTCGCAAGTGACAGATATGGGAATTCACTCACGGAAGCCAGTCTGAGAGCGCTCCAGGATCATCTTGATCATGCCCTCGTCGGAGGAGCGAGGCATCGGCCAGGGGTAGTCGCCCTCGATGATGTCCTTCATGCCCTCGCCGTTCACGATGATGTCGTCCACGAAGCGGACACCCTCCCGCATGGCGATGAGGTCGAGGTCGTTGGAGAAGAAGTTGAGGTTGATCTTGGCCTGCTCGAGGGGGTCCGCGGAGTTGAGCGTGACGGTGCCGTTCTTGGAAAGGGGGCGGAGGAGATCGACGATGACGGTGAAGTAGTCACCCTTCGGGGGCGTGGGAATGTGCCACTGGAAGGCGTCGCAGAACATGGGCTATCGTCACAACTCATTAGTTTCGGCTGATACTGACGTTTCCGGTTACGGGAGATACTTACAACAAAGTCAATTTCGAAATGGGGCTGTCCTCCAGGACCAAAGGGGTCAACACCGCCGTTCTTCGCGAGGTACTCGTTGTACTCCTCACAATTCTTGAGGCGCTCGTCGATACGGGGGAGGCCAACGAGCTCGAGCAGGCCGCTACTCAGGGGACCCTTGTTCTTCCAGTGGTAGGCGGAGACAGCGCCGTCGTGCTCGGGGCCAGCGCGGAGGAGGTGCTGGTCGAGGCCGTAGCCGTCCTTGAGCTTGAAGACGTGGGGCATGATGGGATGGTCGAGAAGGTTCTGGCCGACGTGAGGGGAGTCGACGAGGGTCTTGATGCCGAAGGACTCGAGCTCCTTCTTAAGCCCAATGCCAGAAAGCATGAGGAGCTTGGGCGACTCGTAGACACCGGACGAGACGATGACTTCGTACTTGGCGCGGAAAGTGAGGTCCTCGCCGTTGGGACCGAGGACTTCGACGCCGACGGCTTTGCCGTTCTCAATGATGAGGCGCTTGGAGTGAGTCTGGCCAACGACGGTGACGTTCTTCTTCCCCTCGATGTAGCGCCAGCTGGAAGAGCGCTTTCCCTTGTAGATGGAGCTGACCGCGGTAGTGAGGCCGTGCATCTCGCCGTCGTAGATCTCGTCGTTCAGCTTCTCTCCCTTGCTGACCCAGGCCTTCTTCAAGGCGTCACGGAAAGGGGCGGCCTCAGCGACCAGCTCAGCAGGGGAGACATGGATGGGGCCGTCGGTACCAATGTGCTGAAGATACTTGGGCAGCAACCCTTGGTCGTCGTGGAATGTGGCAGGCTTGTCCAAGTACTCCTTGCAGCCCTCCCAGTTCCACTCGTCGCCGCCGTAGGGGGCCCAGTCGTCAAAGGTGGCTGCACTGCCGCGGATCCAGGTGTAGTAGTTCAAGCAGGAGCTGCCGCCCAGAACCTTGCCGCGGGTGTTGGGCTTCTCGATGCGGGTGTAGTCGGGGCGGTCGATCATGCCGGTCTTGTAGCCCCAGTCCCACTTGCTGCCGCGGAGCTCGAAGGCGCGGGCGGGGGTCATGATGGCCTCGTTGTCGATGGGGTTGCTGACGCCGGCCTCGATGACCAGGATGTTGACGTTGGGGTTCTCTGCTAGGCGTCCGGCGACGACGCAACCGGCAGTGCCACCTGATGAGGGGTTAGATAACTGTGTTTGTGTTAGAGAAGCGGTAGATCAGAGACGTACCACCGACGACGATGAAGTCGAAGTCCTTGACGTTGTTGATAGCAGTCATGTTGGGTAAGGTTTGGTGAATAATGATTAAGTGGAAAGTGTGGTTCCAGAGATGGTAAGTTGTAGTGTTTGAAAGATGTGCTGGTAGGTGTATGTGAGTTGAGTGCGAGCTGTGTGATGATGAGGCAGATGTTGGCAAAATGCAGGAACTTGAGGCCATACTTATACATCTCAACAACAGCGAAACTGAGGACCAGTGAAGGTATTTACAGCGTTACTTGGACACACATGGAGTGCGAATGCCGTCATTCCGTGTGATGCCGAAGTCTAAGACTGCACGGGGCATCTGCACCCTTGCACCCTTCAACCGGAAGTCTCGCCGGTGGCTTGGTACCAACTGAGATATCCTGCCAACCATTCGAGCCATGTTTCCAAGCTTGAGACGCCGAACGCAAATTGCGGGAATTTCTAAATCGTAGCACATAGCTTGTTGTCTCGCTAAGGGGCCATCATCACAGGAAGTCTTTGGTTGATGCCGACTACCATGGCCATGTGGAACTCCGCAGCAGGCCACTCATCAGGCCGAAGGCAGGGTTGCCGGTTTCCGCCGGGAGTGATTAAGGTCTGCATCTGCAATGTGTACCAGCCGACCGACTGTCAACCCTCAAAATTGTAGTCTCCGGTGAACACCGCACAACTTGACGGAGACGTAGGGCAAGGAGCCGGGCCGGTAGGGTGGATCACGGCGTTCGGCTCCGACATGGTCGGGCCCGGTCTCGGCAAACCTTCGCTCTTCGGCGTTTTTCTCGCTGCATCACCCAATCAGCATGACGGAAAGCACAATTACCTAAGCTCTGAGAATTCTCGGGATTCAACTTTGTTAGTATTGCAGGTCCCTTATTGGCTGACTTTTCAACTTGCCAACTTGCCGAGCCTCGACCGCATACTTCTGAGCGCTGAGCCATTGAGACATATCGAGAGGCTTCTTCTTGACTTCGGCATCGAGAAATTCAAGCAGCTTTTTAGCGCAGTCCGCAGTCCCCATTCGAGCGGTTTTCGCATCGGTATCTCGAGGTCAATTTCGGGTTCACATGTGCGGCAACCCATTGCGGGATTGCACCGGCAACCGTCATCAAACCGGTTTGACACAACTGTAGTCCGTCCAAATGCATTCTAGGTTTAGGTTCGTGAGAAGTCACTGTGGGTGAAGAATGACCGATAAGATGTTCCGGACATTTGAAGCGGTGACGTCGAATTGTCGTGAATGGGTATATAATGGGGCATGTCGACTCTGGTGTCAACCGTTTCAAATCCAACCTCATCCACCATCTGGAAGACCGAATATTCCAACTAACTTAACAATTGCCCTTTCACTTTGCTTTCACCTGATAAACCCTTTGAACAGTCTCTTTCCAATATCTCAACCTCTTAATGCATCATGAGCGCACCTACGTACACTCTGACTGAAGGTAGGCAATCGTCCCTTTGCGCCCTATAGCCCCTGAAGCTTATACCGTTCCAGGCGTTCCCTACGCCGACCCCTCCACCGCTCAGCATTTTGGCGGCAATGGAGTCAAGGGCCTCATGCTTCTCCAAGACACGCAGCTCATTGAGACCTTGGCGCACTTCAGCCGCGAACGCATCCCGGAACGCGTCGTCCACGCCAGAGCTGTTGGCGCTTTTGGCGAGTTCGAAGTGACTCACGACATCTCCCAGTTCACCTCCGCCAAATTTCTCAACGGAATTGGCAAGAAGTCCAAGGTCCTGCTTCGCGTTTCCACCGTGGGACCTGAGCGAGGTAGCGCCGACACCGTTCGAGACGTTCGCGGCTGGGGCATGAAGATCTTCACGGAGGAAGGAAACCAGGACTGGGTGTTCAATGACATCAAAAGCTATCACATGTCGAGTCAGAAAAGTGACATTTGATATGCTGACTTTGATAGCCTGTGTTCTTCATCCGCGACCCAATCAAGTTCCAACAATAACTATCACAACTCGAGACTAATCAGTCTACCCAGTACCTGTGTGACTGGGCGCTTAAGCACCCCTGCCCTAGCGACCTAGATAAGCCTACGCTGGCTTCGGTGCCGGCACTTTCTCAGCCACTCGCTTATCTGCAAGATAAATACAATATGCATGCAGTGCCACTTGTACACAGCCCCGGGAAGGTGCGCCAAAATGCTGAAAAAGAAGATTGTCCCAACTCTCGACCCCGGCTGAGCTTTCTCTGCATTCCTATCTTCATTAGGTGCTGATTTTCTGTTTGCAAGTGGACAAAGTCCACGAACGATCTGAGCCAATTGAGCAGACCACAGCCTCCGCGAGCCCAATGTCGATGGATCGCGAGCACACTCCAGAGCGGCTAGTGTATCAGTCGCTGCCACACGGGAATTTCATTCGTTGTTTAGTTCTCGAGGCAGGCCAGTCTGCCGAACCTCTGAGGTGCCGGCTGGAAACATGGAATCTTGACGACGTCCGTGGACCGGAAAACATGTTCGGGCCTAATTATTATGCAATCTCCTACGTTTGGGGCCCCAACGTGAAGGACAAAGCCATTCTATGCAACGAAAAGACTACGTACATCACGCCAAAGCTTTTTGAAGCTTTGCACCAAATTCGCGAGCATGTTGGTCAGCAAATAATCCTTTGGACCGACTCCCTGTGCATCAACCAAGACAACGAGGAAGAGAAGAGCCACCAGGTGGCTCTCATGAGTCAAATTTACGCCAGGGCGTCTAGGGTACTGGTTCACCTGGCGGGCGGGGACGACGGCCGCGCGTCGAAAGCGGGATCACTGATTCGGGAGCGAGATGCGTATGTTCGACAGAACCTCAGTTTACTGGCTGGTATCCGAAGTCTATGGTACGATTTCCCACAGCTGAGCACCGAAGAGAGAGACAACATCACCCATGATGAGAGATGGGAATCCTTCAATCAAATGCTATCCCAGCCCTGGTTCAATCGTGGCTGGGTCGTCCAGGAAGCAGCACTAGGTCAGAGCACCGATGTTCTCTGGGGAGGAGAAATCATCGCCTGGGACCAATTGATACGTTGTGCCGCATGGGTTTGCTTTCGCTGCATAGACGTTGAGGAAGAGTATATGCGCGATCGTTCCAGTATCCATTTCCACATCAAGCTACACCTGGAACGTTACGCGAAGGAAGCAGCAGTCTATCGCTATTTGACAGACGGATTGGACATCGCTGCGATTTTGAACCTTGCGCGAGAGACAGATATGACGAATCCTAAAGACAGGATATTCGCCTTCTTATCCCTAGGAGTATTCAGCCACAAGGGTGACGGGGGTATTTACGAAGAAAGACCCAAGATGCGAGTTACCTACCTCTCCCTACTGTGGTTGGCCCCCTAACCAGTCATACTAGTGTTCATAGCCACCAACTGGTCTCGGAACTCGGCGCCGAAGGCATGGTCGGTAGCCAGTGGTCTCATGTCGATAGCACTGGGCTTCCTGTGTACCACGTACCCCGGGGGAGTGATGCCATTATTTCGTCCCCTCCACCTAGTCCTGCGCGCATTTCGCTACGCATTGTTTGCGACAACGTCAAAAACATATGCCAAACTAGGTCCAGGCCGCTTCATGAAGCCAGACTATGGAAAATCCAGGGAAGAGTCCAAGGAAGAGGTGTATACCGACTTTGCTCGTCAGCGCATTCTCCACGGTGACATCCGAATCCTTCACTTCGCTCAGGAAAATAGCTCCGAGGGGTGTGGGACACAAAATACTCTGCCTTCCTGGGTTCCTCGTTGGGATTTGAGAGGTGATGATATTTATCAGGTACCAAATCCTTGGCAGGGAAGACCATTGAGTCCCAGCCAAGGGTTCGATGGCAGCCTCACTAGAAAATTTGATGGAACAACACTTACATTGACCGGCGTCGTTTTTGATCGTGTAAGAGCCCGGGCAAGCTTTTTGAAGCCTGAACCAGAGCTATCAGCTGTGGCGGAGCTGTTGACAACAGTGCACCATATGAATTTGGGCAATGCATATCCTCCCGAGCAGAGGCTAGCAGTCATGATCGACTGTCTGTGTGGAGCAAGCATACCATTCGACGTGGACCTCATTGCTTGGGCTGATGAGAGGCAGGCTTTGGTCGAGTCATTGCAAAGCTGCGACGACGTTTCCCTACTTAAGGCATGCGAAGAGGAGTTCCCTATATTGCGCAAATGTTTGAAATACAACAAAGGGGGCTCACCGTTTTTCACCGATCGTGGTTTCTTCGGTATGGCGTACACCCAAGTAGCGGAAGGCGACGTATGCGCCATCGTCTTTGGCTGTAGTTATCATTTCGTTCTGCGGCCCACAGTCAATCCGCCAGCGGGAGAGCAACCGCACTACAGTATTGTTGGAAGCGCTTCAATTGTTCACTCTCAAGAAGATTTTGCTGTCCCTGGCCAGACACGTCCATTGACCTGTGCCAGAATCATTGGGAGGAAGAAGGGCAGCAAAGATTGGGTTAAATGGGGCCTTCGTGAGCAAGAAATCTTTCTTCTATAGAGTAAAGTAGCCTACTCAATAATGAACAGTCACTACTTAAAGCCTTGCATAGCGAATCTAACTGTTAATATTGAAATACATATTGTTTTTATCCTTTGAGGATACTTATTACTGCGCTAGCTTGTTAAACGACCTCAGAGAATATGAATAGTCCATACGAGAGTGTAGAAGGAAGAGGTTATTACAAACTAATGTGACCACTACTAAAAAGCGTGGGGACAAGAACAATAACTAAATAAGGAAGATTGCCTCTTGATGTGAAGCCCCCTTTTAGAGGGGATAGAATTTATAAAGCTGTAATTGCTATTGCTGGTTTAAGTAGCAGTGGTAGTAATAGCCTTTCTTCAATAAGTGCATTCGAAAAGAGGATTAAGTTCATGCTATGTGGCTCGTAGTGTTCGGATAGCGCACTGGCCAGTTATACGAATACGCGGCATCCTTGAACGCGAAACCCGAGTATTGACCTCTGCGCCCAGTAGGGGTTGTCAAATTCTTGACTATCACTGTAAGTTGACAGCGATGCATAGCTTTGGAAATTATGGGAGACATTTATATCGCGGAGATCCCGTTGAAAATACGCGGAACACTGCCTCGATTCCATATCATCAACCCCACAGATCCAATCCGCGGCGGGGAGTATCATTAACTAGCATGGAGCCAATGAGGCAAACTAGCTATGATGAAGGGCTTTGCTTGTTGCCGCGTTTTCGTATAGCTCAAGACTGCCCAGAAAAGATGGAGATACGCAGCAAGAGTTGAAATCTTCTCCTTACGCCTACGGTGACAACATAAATAGGGACGATTTATTACAATGGGATTCGATTCTTCTTTCTTCTCCTCCAGTCACAGCATCATCTGCCTCTACTATCCGACACTCGTTCAACTATTCACTCTTAAGTATCTCGCTCTCTACATCATATTTTCTCCAAAATCATGGGCATCAACAAACTTCTTGCGGCGTCCGCCATGGTCGGCTGCTCTCTCGGAGCTGCCATCAACGACACTACTCGAACCCTCGAGCTCGCCCCTCAGTATTTCAATGGCACTGTCTCCGTCGAGCACCTCTCCGTGGCTGGCAACCTCGATGGCTTCAAGATGCTGACGCCGGCTGCGCAAAAGTCTGCCGACTTTTGGTACTTCGATGTCTTCTCCAAGGCCACCAACCAGACTCTCAACATTGTCTTCTTCAACACTGGCGAATTCCAGCAATACCCCCACCCTCTCGCTATTCAAGTTTCTGGTGTCTATGCCAACGGCACGGACTTCTACTATGAAGCTTTGGCTGACTCGGGCGTCACCCTCACCAATGGACCTAAGGGTATCACTGGTGACTGGAAGGGAGTTGGCAACTTCGATGGTTCCGCTTTGGACAAGCCTGATGTTGAATACCACATCAACATTGACTCTTCCGTCATGGATATCAAGGGTAACATTACCTTCAAATCCGTAAGCTTTTTTCGCATTCCCACCAATTTTGCTTTTGTATTTTAGATTGTTAATCAGACGGAAATAGACCGCACCCGCCCACTACCCCTGCGACCTCAACGGCGCTGTTGGTGCCAACCAGAACCTCCTCCCTGGACTTTACTGGGCCAACGCAGTTCCCGACGCCGACACGACCGTCGACCTCACAGTCAAGGACACCGCTATCAGCTTCACCGATGGAGTAGGATACCATGACAAGAACTGGGGTAACCAGTCCATCATCGACGGCCCCCGCTACTGGGACTGGGGTCACGGCCGCTTTGGACCTTACTCAGTCGTCTGGTACAACCTCCTCGACTACAACGGCAACGAGAGCCGCCGCTCTTACGTCGTCAAGGATGGCGAGGTGCTCTTGGTCAGCTGCAGCCTTGATAGCATGGTCGTCCGCCAGAAGGGAGACAAGGCTGCTTGGCCTCCTGTCACTGGTCTGCTCGAGACCGAGGGCATCACGGTCAACTACACATTGCCAACCGGCGAAACCTTGGCGCTGGACATCACCACTGAGCTTATCGTCAGGGATGAGAAGGGCGCTTACCAGCGCGCTAATGGTCTTATCAAGGGTGGCATTGTTGGCCAAGAGACCTTTGAGGGCCGTGGTCACTACGAGGAGTTCATCTTCGGCATCGTCAACGACTATACTCCTCAGTTCTAATGGCCCCTGAGGCTTGTGTCCGAGCTTAGCATTGTTCATAACATCACTGAGCTTGCGACCTTACAAGACTTTGGTGAAGCCGGTGGCAGTAGCATTGTTGCGCTCAGGCCCATTCCCGATGTTAAATCTTTCAATATCTTTGCGCCGGACCGTTTCTTAGATTGACTGGCTTTAAATACACACTTTTGCCCAGTTAAGATACCGGGATAATCCGCGCTTGAATATAATATCACAGTCCTCTCGGACACAAAGAGGTAAATGCCACAGAACCTGACTACGAGGAAGCTAGTAATTTCCTGGCATGCCGTTCAAGCTGCCCTTGAAAGCTTGAACCCTCCAGGAACACGCGTCTGGAAAATGCCTTCTGGATCATATTTCTCCGCAACCTTGCGCATGTACTCGAGGCTTTTGCCACCGTAGCTTCCTAGCGAGTCCTGACGTGAACTGGCGTAGTTGAGGTATACCAGATCTTCAGCCCCACCGATAGACTCTGCGAAGTCGTTCATGAAGCTCGACATTTCGTTTAGACGTTGCTCGGCAATGGCGAATTCGGCCTCGTTTGTCTTGACAAACACGGCAGCCGTCCACATGACAGCGTTTCCCTTCATATTTTCGAGTCCAAGCATGTTTCCGCCCTTTTCCTCGGCGATGCGCGCGTAGTCCTTAGTGACTGGTTGCAGAAATATCATGGTATCGAATGCATCCTCCCCAATGGAGTTTTGAAGAGAAATGACAAAGTCCTCGTGTATCTTGGCAGCATATTGGAGTATCTTCTTATCATTTCTGTACAGAAGTGTGGCTCCAGAGGCCCTGAGTTTACGGTCAGTCGTGAGGCACACTAAAGGCTCACTCAAGGAAGATATGGGCAAGACTTACCATACTCCACCGGCCACTTGCGACCCTGCTGCTGCTTCGGCCAGGGTCTTCTTTTCACTGCTTTCCAAAACGGCAGGAATCTTCCTCAGATTGTCGTAAGCAGTTGTGAGGTTGTCCTCGCCAGCTGTATTAACGAAAATGGTACCGATCATAATTTCCGTGCTCTGCGTGCTGTTGTACGTCAGATATGTGACGAGAGCATTGTCCGCCATGGACATGTCATAGTCAGCGAACTCTACTAGGGTATCGATGACTGCATCAGTCGCGTTTCCGGGCAAGAAGCGAACCTCATAGTGAAGGTCCCGTGTAGGCATCGCTTCGAGGTCGAACCGCGTGACGATGCCGAAGTTGGGACCGCCACCCTTGAGGGCTTTCCATAGATCTGCGTTGCTAGATTTATTGGCGTTGACGATTGTCCCATTGTAAAGGACAACTTCGTAGTTCACAACGTTATCGGCACCGAATCCTCGAGCAGGTGAGAAGAAGGAGGTGCCCCCACCAAGGAGGAACCCCCCAACGCCAACATTGCCATCCCGGCCACCCACAACCACGACCCCTTGATCGTCCAAGTCCTTGTAGACGTACTGCCAGTGGCCACCGGTGTCAATACGAGCCACATTCGCATCCTTGTCATAGACAGACGAGTTCATGTGCGTGAGGTCAATGGTAACGCCGTTGTCGATATTGTTGTTGAGTTGCCAGCCGTGGCCCCCGCTCCGGACTGCGATGTGCCAATCGCCAGCTCCATATCCGGTATCTAGTAAGGTTGTGAGAGTGAGAGAAACTTCATCGGCACTCTGTGGGAGGACGATACACCACGGATGTTGCCGCGCATTCTTCGCCCACCACGTGTTAACCTGATCTTCGTACGCAGAATCTGCTGGAAGAAGCAACCTGTCGTTGAGACCAGCCGCAATGATTGCGTCACACTCATGGCAGTTAGCCAACATAGAGACGTAGAGGATGGAACATACTTACTGGAGGCGTTCCGCCTTTAAAGATTTCTGGCGTTGTCCCGTTACTAGACAAGATGTGTTTTGTCGCAGTAACTAACCCCACAAGAATGCCTAGATTGACAATATGATGCAGCATTATTTTACTAATTTGAAAAGAAAGGCAATTATGAATCCGTTTGATCTTAGAAAAGCTTGGAAGGAGAACACTGTTACTGAAGCTGCATCGAAAGGCGTATCAAGGACATGGCTACTACCCGACTTAAATATCTAAATCCTGGCCTGAAATCGACGACAAGGTTTGGCTTGAGTTCAGTCGCATTCAAAGTCCCGTTCTCGGTTCCTCGGGTCCGCGAACACGGGCATAAGGCAATTGCACAGCATACTTAGGATACTGGGTGTTTCAAGAGCCAAAGGATATATACATCACCTTAGATGACATGTAGTCCAGCGGCGCAAATGCAAGAAGTTCGCAACGAAAGCCGACCATTGCAATCTCATTTTACTCAATCGGTATGGCACCCGCCCCTTCAGAGGATCCCCGAATAGGCCAATTGCGGCCTCGAACAACCAGTTGTCAGCAGCCTTGTGGGGCTGAGCTCCCGGCGCAGCGTGGCATTCCGGGCCCGAGGGCCCGAAGTGGGCCCTAAAGAGAGGCGTCGTCTTGCAGTAGAGCCGTTGGTGTTTTGGATAAGCTGGTCTCATTAGTCCGTCATACCTGCTGACTGCATGACAGAATCAAGGTTAGGAACCTCGTTGCCTAGATTCGACGCATGGTTGAATCATCAGCTGTAAATACACATGACGTGACGCAAAAATGGTGGTGACGAACAAGCAAATTTGCCTATTTTGGTACTGGTGATCGTCCAAGTTCGCCGGATGAAGGATGGAAGAGACCGCATGTATTTTTTCTTTGGATTCCACTGTGGTTCTCGTTGGATAGTTGGCACCTTGGCATGCATGTTTACCTTTTTGGTGATAGTGCTTCCTCAACAATGTCCAGCCGGTCGGGGGTTCGGGGGGTGGAACGGAAACACTGTTGGAAGATCCCCTTAACTCCCCCAATCGGACCAAATTTGCAGCTCGGGTTGATACCCAGTCAAACTGCATGGAATCAAAAGATTTGTTGAAGGTGCAGATGACCTCGAAACATGTTTATTCACCGCTTTCAAGGCGAGATTTGAATACTTCCTGGGCCCTCCGAGCTTAGTGCATCTGAAAGATAACGTAGGGAAATATGGTACCACTGACGCGCGATGTGGGTTTTGGTTCCAGCGCGAAGTGAAATCTTATGTAGGACAGTTAAGTTCCCTTGTCAGTACGGCGACATTCACTTCAGGCTGGTCTGCTAGCTTCATGGTAGTTGATTTTGAGTTTTGAGACGGAGGCTTAACTGTACGAGCCTTGGAACAACCTCGGAATTCACGAATAAGTAATGCACTAAGACAATACCAAAGCTCATTGACGCCTCTCATCTCGAAAACGGTGTTACTTTCGGCTCTCCCCGACCGAGGCTGGACACCATTTCTGACAGACCGACAGGGATGCGGTCCAATCACAGTCCTCTGGTCGCTATTCTTGCAGTATTTGTGGCAATCATCAGGGCAGTACATCCAGACCTTATGGCGGCCGACCGTTCGGATAAGTATTGTAAGGCGTACTGTGCCCCTCTGTTGGCAAACAGGCAGCAGTGTTGAGGTTGGAGATGGATAAAGCGCATATGCCTGAACACAGGTTTGACAAAGACAACGTGCGACCCACGCATTCATCTTCTTCAACTTTGAGTATATATTTGCTCTCTTAAGCGGTCGCGCCCCTTATAAGCTAAGAAATGGAGACATCAAGCGGAAAACGGCCTGCGGTGAGGCGTCGGAAACCCCATACTCAATCGAGACCCGGAGCTAACCGGTAATCTGTGAAAGTGCGACCAATGTAAAGATCGAAAGGTAGTTGATGACGCCCCATCGTCGTGGCATCGACACTGATACCACATATTAGACGAAATGCGATCGCGAGGCACCATGCTCTAGCTGCATCGCCTCCGGTCTCAATTGCCGGATATCTCATCGCGCCACTGAGAGGCGCCAGCGGGTTCTCATCTCCCCTCGATACGATGAGTCCATGGAAAACGTCGATCGATCCCTCCGTGAGGTTTCACAAGCTGTTCACAAGCTCCTTGAGATCAACGAGAAAGGGTCAGGACCTTCGCCTAAGGATTCTCCAGCATCATACATCAGCAGCAACCCATCAAATATTGCTATCATGTCGGAGGGCTATCGAGGTGACTCGTCATTCAAAGCACACGTTCACAAGGTCACGGATGCACTGAGAGACGCCGCGTCAAATCTTGAATTGACTATGGGCGACCCAACGTTCACGACCACGACACACATTATCGACGAGACTGCCGACAGTGAAGAAAGCAGCCCACCTTCCGACGGCAAATCACCTTCGCTATTCAAGATCCAATATCCGGAATTGGAAGGGAGGTCACTTCCTCCTATCGACCAGGTCCTGAAGCTTCTGCGATTGGCGCAAGTTGAGAAGCAGAGATTCTTCGTGGACTGCTCAGTCGTGGATGAGCAGGAGTTCACTGAGTTTTGCCAACGGGTCTACTTCGCAGTGAATGACTACTCCATCTTGTCATGGATAATCGTCAACATCGGTCTGTTCTACATGTTCCTGAACTTGAAGCAGCCTTTTTACGCACAGATTGGAGTCAATTACGCAATTATTCATGAGTATTCACAGCAATTGAAGGACAACATAGAGGCTGCTATGCAGTCCTTGAGGCTTTGTAACGACCCGTCGATGGAAGCGTGCCAGGCTCTAGGGCTTTTGGTTTGTCCCTGTTGATTTCAATGTACTTTTCAAGTCTGACGGAAGCTTCAGTACACTTTTTGCAATAAGTCCGGACGAAGCGCTCTCGCTTGGCAAATGATATCAGCCGCCTCCAGAATGTGCATTGATCTTGGTTGGCACCGTCTTCCGAAGGAGGGACCAAGGGTTTCAAAGGAACGGCAAATCTTTTGGCACGTCTATATACATGATAAAGGGATGGCTTTTACCCTCGGGCGTTCACCGTCTATCCATCCATGTGACGTTTCGACGCCGAAACCGACAATCCCGGACGACTACGTTCCTGGCGTTCCGGTACAGTAAGCCATCACTGGTGATCATTATGTGCGAGGCTTAGTTTGATGTTGACAAAACAACCATTAGTCTCTATGCTGGCTATATAGATTACGCCATAATCGTTGGCGACATGCATATCCAGCTCTTCTCGGCTTCGGCCCTTCAACAACCACAACAGAGCAGGATCGAGACAGCAAAGTCCTTCGCCATAAAGATTCTACAAACGAACAGAGATATTCAGAAGGTACATCAGAGAAAAACAATGTGGCTGAAAACAATGGCTGACGTTCATGATCTAAGGCGCTTCACGATGGTCCCCCAACAAATGACATCTACAAAGCTCCAACGATGCTATTCGATATGATCATGTACAGCCTGGTCACGATCGCATATCGAATTGTGCCATGCGAAGCACAAAACTCGAACCCACTTCAGTGCAGTATTGCCTGCATCGACGCAGCCCGGAAGACCTTGACAACAATGGTAGAAGCCTTTAACGATTGGGGTAATGATAACCAGACAGGTTGGGCCATGCTGCTTAACATGTACGTTGCAACCGTAGACTTTAAGATCCTTTGTTTAGAACGATTGCTAAATATGATAGAATGTTTTCCATGCTCCCGTTTGCTGCGTTCGTTGTGTTAGCTGGGAACACCATCGCGACCTCGTCTACAGATGATCTAGCACTTCTCGCCGCCACCGTCTCGGCGTTAGAGCCGACATCGACCAGCTCGCCATCCGCGAAGAAGCTCTACGATGTCTGCAAGACTTTTCACCAGCTTGCTAGCTTTGCCATTGCCAGACGGACGGTTCTAGAAGGCACGCCCCCGGAAGCACCGGCCATCCCTGCTTGTATGTACGACCACCAAGCTGCGCACGATTTTCCACTACCTCTAGGTGACTTGGGTCTTTCGGCTTATGATCACACAATGGCACCTCAGGACTGGGATACAGTTATGAACGGGTTTGATCTTGGGTCCGGCGCTGGAGCGATGGCTTCTTTTGTGGAGCCGTATATGCCATTCGATGGGCGGTCGTCTTGAGTTGATGCCCAGTCCAAGTGCAGGGGTCTTTGGTATAGTGATATCGATATAGACAGACTAATTGCACAAAACTATTACAACTTCAGCTTCAATCTTCCAGTGTATCCCTTACACGCCGCATCTACCAAACCCATAACCTCAACAAGCTTCTCATCCCGGAGCCTGGGAACAACTACCTGCACGCTCAGTGGCGTCCCCAGGTACAGCCGTCTGTCAATTTTGGTTTCATCCCATAGCTCCCGATTTCTCTCATCCCAGCTGCTAATTGCCTTACCATCCTGTGGCTTTCCAAGCTCTAAATCACCCTCTTCCACCTTTCGCACAGGCACGGTACCTGCAGGATAATCGAGCAGCACCCAGCTGCTAGTGAGCCCGACCGCATTATACCCTTCAATGGGAGGTACAGGATGCGGCGCCAGGGGGCAAATGATCGCGTCAACCCTTTGCGCACGGCGATCGTACTCATCATCCTCAACCCAGATCTTGAGCATCTCACGCTCAATCTGTGACCGCTGAGCTTGAATCTCGGCTACGCGTGTGAGCGGCTGGGGCTGTCCTCTCTTGATTCGGGCCGCTGTCCATGGCACCAAGGGCTCGCCTGTTGCTTCGATCATGTCAAGCATCGGAACTGAGCCGTCGACACCCATGAGCTTGTTCATGACAGACTGCGCCGCGGTGAGCGCTTTCGGAATGTCGAGCGGAACTACCTTGATGTTGGCTGCGTGCGCAAGGGAAGCGGCAACTTCATCAAGCATGTTCGCAATCGGCGGGTGAATAACGCAGTTTCCGTCGCCGCGAAGCACGCCAATTACAAGCTCGCCATTCTTCCCGCTCCCTGAGGCCTGCATGCTGCGCGGAGTTGGAGACCATGGCGTCGGCATGCAGTCTTCGCCCCATGATGATGCCCGCGGCATGATCTCTCTCAAAAGGGTATCAATGTCCTCAACACTTCTGCCGATTGGGCCAGCGACAGCTTGCACTGAAGCCCGACTCATCCCCTCAAACCCAGTGCGAACTTGCCCGCCGTACGGCACGCGCCCGTTGGATGGTTTGAACCCGTAAACGCCGTTGCACATGGCCGGAATGCGGATGCTGCCGCCAATGTCGGTGCCGATGCCAATCATGCTCCCCTTCATGGCTACTAGGACGCCCTCGCCGCCCGACGATCCGCCCGCAGTGCAGAGCCGGTTGATGGGGTTCATGGTCCGGCCGAAGACGTTGTTCACCGAGTCCAAACTAGCAAGGGTCTGGGGAATGTTCGTCTTTGCTATGATTACGCATCCCAGCGAGAGGAGGAGATTGACCAGAGATGCATTCTCGGTCGCCGGCTTATGACATAGCGAAGCCAATCCCATCGAGGAGTCGACGCCAGTAACATTGAACGTATCCTTTACGGAGACGGGGAGGCCGTGAAGCGGACCGAAAGGCTTGCCATTCTCGCTGACATACTTATCCAGAAACGCGGCGCGCTCTAGTGCAGCATCGAAGAGAGGCTCAGTCAAGCAATTCGTGAGCTGCTGGGCGATGGCCGCGCGGTGGCAGAATGCCTCAGCGACCTGGACGGCGGTGAAGGCCCGCGACGATATGGCTTTGACGAGTCTCTCGATGGTGTAGCCCTCCGTAATGGAAATCTCGAGCCCGGAGAGGAACTGGCGGGGGACGCTCAGGACGTTTTGGGGGCCGTCTCGGAGATGAGGTGGATCTCGTGGGATGACGCTGGTCGGGATGTGCCACTTTGCGGGGATGCGGGCTGCCCGCTCGGCTTGCTTGCGGCGGGCGATTGGGATCCACGCAGCTTCATGTGATTGCGATGACATGTTGAAGTATTTTGTGTGAACAATTCCCAGACTTAGTTGTTCGGCTATGAAAATGAAGTAAGAACGATAGACTGGCGGGAAGAAATGATCTGAGCAAACCGTTCATGAATGAAGCCTGAGGGGGCTCAAGCTCAGACTCGCATTGAACCTCGGCAGATACTGGACAATGTCTTTGCTATGAGGCCTGCTATATCCCACGCGTGTTAGCTTAACAATTAAGCCACCACCCCAAGCAACCGATACCCCGCACCCATCGATCAGCCTAATTAAGCGATTTTTTTCACTATTAACACCACCCCTATAATTTTATACTTACTAATATTATAATAATATAAATTAGATAAAAATCTAAGAAATTCACTAATTAATTTAGAATACTTTCTTATACTCCTTAAGATATTTAGAACGCTATTACTAATATAATTAGTAGCTAATCTATTAAATAAGCTTCTACTTATTATAGAGTACTCTATATAACCCTATATAGCTGAATTTCTAATTTAATAAGCTAGAAGGAAGCTTAAGTATACTTATAGTAGCTCTCTCCTACTTAAGAGGTTTAGTTAGCTTCCTAAGTTATTATATAAAGCTTCTTAGGTTTTACTCCTACCTATATATAACTTAAGAAGCTAACTAAGAGGATTATTAAAGCTAATAGTAACTTTTAGCTAATAAGTAAGAAGTAGATTAATATTTTCTTATACTAAAACCTATTAATTAAAATAATAAAGTTATAAAAGATTAAGTAGAAGAGAATTAAAGAGGTTACTATTAGTATTATTAATAATCTATTTAATATACTTAATTTTCTAGCTATTAAAGCTATCCTTATATCTTTCTATTAGAATATAGATAAAACTAGAATTACTAAGGAGGTTTAATATAATAGATTAGTACTAAGTAGTACTAATAAGCCTTTAATTTTTATCTATAGCTTAAAATCTTATATTTAGATAACTATAGTTAAATATATCTTAATAGAGGGTAAATACTTACTACCTCTTATAATCTTTAAAAGGAAAACTATATAGTAGTAATAATTCCTTAAGAATATTAATAACTTTACTACTTAGAAGTTTATATTAATAATAACTACTTTTACGTTTAATAATATTAGTATAAAGTAGCTAATATAGATCTTTATCCCTAATATTACTACTAAAGTAAAGAGGCTATAATCTAAATATCTTCTTATTATTAATAGTTATAGGAGTTATATTATAAATAAATTTATATATAAATACTATAAAGAAAATATTTATTTAGTTTATCTACTTACTTACTCTTTATATATTACTTAGCTACTTAATATAACTATATTTTTACCCCTTAAGAAAGTATATAGAGAGAAGCTTAAAGATATAGATTTAATACTTAATTTAGTACTTATTAAGAAATAAAACTTTCTATAATACTACTCTTATATAAGAGGGATAACTCTAAAGTTTTAGATTATTAAAGCTAGCTTTAAAGCTATAAGTATATAGCTTATTAACTAGTAGAAAGCTTTTAATAGCTCTTTCTTAGATAAATTAATAGCTATAGATATCTAGAGGTCCCCTCTATTTTATAAGAAGTAGCTAGAAAATCTTCTAATATTTTAAACTTTTACTATTAATACCCCTATAAAGTCTAAAGATCTAAAGAAGTTTAAGTTTATATAGATTATAGAGGTAGATAAAGCTAGCTTTAATAATATTATATATAAACTTATATTTAAGAAAGTTAGTAAGTATCTTAATAAAAATAATATTACTAAAGTATAAGATAATAAAGAGATATTTACTCTATACCTTTATATTAAATAAATTCAGCTTATTAAAAAGGCTACTATTAAAGTTAATAAGAATAAACGCTTTATTAAGATACTTAATATTATAGCTATAAAATAAAAGCTTTAGAAGAAGTAATAAAATCTAAAAAAGAAATATTTAAGTACTTAAGTAATAACTAAAGTTATAATAGAGTTAATATATATAGAGTTTTAACTTTTATAGCGTTTTACTATAAAATAATTAATTTGAGGTTATTTAATTAAGCCTAAAAAGCATCCGAATTAGGCTGATCGGGGGGTGTGGGGTATTGGTTGCTTGGGGTGGTGGCTTAATACATACCTCAAATCTGCTGAGCTCTAGGTTTGAAGCTGTTGTCCCGCACGCCAATGCGTCTACCCCACGTCGATCGCTTATGTTCGATACGTACCACAGGATAGTGGATGTTGGCGAACGGCTGCTGTTCATGTATGTTTCAAAAAGACATTTAGATATAGCCACACTACACTACTAATAGGGGCCCAGAGGTGAAGCCTGAATAAGTCTCTTCCACCCTGGACGCTCTAGGTAGTCGTTCAGGCAGAGGTCTAGAAGACAGGTGAGCGACATTATTAAGAGGACCACAGGAGGTGCTTGAGCGTTGTGTATGAAGGGATCAACACAGCCCACTGCCCGACCAGTACAGCTCTCAAGCTTATGTTCAATCTGCTTTCAGCCCTGGAAGACTTCAATGACAAAGTCTCCCGGTAGTAAACATATTGTTCTGGATGAGTATGTTATCAATCTCTTATCTCTTACCCGTGCTATCCATCAACGGTAAACCTTGCCATGGATGAATTTCCCGAGGAAATCATCGAGAAAATAAAATTACTCGACTCCACTTCCCTCCTAACATCGGAGTCGCCCGACACGACGGCAACCGTCATCCATCAAGATAAGAAGCAATGACGAGCTACAAGTACCCAAACACCGGTTCATCCGAAAAGTTTTGAAGATCGCCGGTCAAGTCTCTTTCTACGCGCCCGGTGAGACTATCACGAGATGCTCGCCTCAACGTTGCAAATCGCCCTAAGTGCGCTCCTGGTGCAGCCGGCCCTGGCAGCCCGCAAAAACCTCATTATCGACACTGACATTTTCAGTGACTGCGAGTCAGATCCCCTATCAACGCTCTCACAAAAGAATCATTCCTGACATCGCGACAGTGACACCGGCGCGCTCCTCATTGCCGCCACCTCCCCGGAGGTCAACCTGCTCGGCGTGAACGTGAACTACCCCTCCTCCTACTCCGTCACCGCCACCTCCGCCATCCTCGCGCACTACAACCACTCCGGCGTGCCCATCGGCGCGCGCCGCCCGCTCACAAACGAGAGCTTCTTCGACACCTTCGCCTACGACCTCGGCGAGTACGCCAGCAAGATCTCCTACCACTTCTCCGGCGGGTCCCTGCCCTTCGGCGCCGCCGAGGACGCCTGGGACGCCGTCGCGCTGTACCGCAAGCTCCTCGCCGAGGCCGACGCGCCCGTGACCATCGCCTCCATCGGCTTCTTCGAGAACCTCTCGGGCCTGCTCAACTCTACCGCGGACCGCTACTCGAACCTCACCGGCCCGCAGCTGATCGCGGCCAAGGTCGAGCAGCTGGTCGTCATGGGCGGCGGGTACCCCTCCGGCCGCGAGTTCAACTTCTTCGGGGACAATCCGGCGGCGACGGCGCACGTGGTGAACAATTGGAAGGGGCGCGTGGTGTTCTGCGGGACGGAGGTCGGGTCGGTGGTGCTGTCCGGCGCGAAGCTGCTGGCGGACGGCCCGGCGACGGATCCGGTGCGGCAGGCGTATGTGTACTACAACTTCTACCGGCCGAGGGAGTCGTGGGACCCGCTTACGGTGGTGTATGCGATCCAGGGCCTGGGTGACTTGTTTGAGTACGAGAATGAGTTTGGGTACAACCACGTCTTTGCGAACGGGTCAAATGAGTGGGTGTATGACGAGAGTGTTACGGATCAGTTCTGGTTGAAGCTGAAGGTTGATAATGTCACCGCGGCGGATGCCCTTGATAAGCTGTATCTTGAGGGGGCTTTGTCGGCGACCAACGCAACTCGGATCTGAGCAGGCTGTCTGCAGTGGCAACAACGTAATGTGTATTCTGGGGTTCACCGTCACCTATGAGGACGGATGTTCCGTCTCATATAGAGAACTGATGGACAGCTTATCTCGTCAATTGAGAATCAATGAACTCACCTGCACTGAACAATCCCCAAGCATTCACATGTCCACCAAAGCGAGAACGGGATACACGACAATACAGGGGACCTCACTCATGCAAACAAAACACGCCGATCAGCAAATAAGCTTACTATTCCAGCCCGGAGATAGCAAACCCTCACGCCAACCGGGCAGTGTCCTCTCACACTCAAGCGCCAAGATCACGCAGCCATTCGAGCGCATGCAGCGCCAGGGTTCTCCAAAATACCACCTTCCATCTTCTACCCTCGTCCCCCGTGAGTCCGATGATGCCACCCGCGCAGCGGCCGCTGCAACAATCCCATCGAATGCAGCCATCGCGGACGCAATTGCCCTGCTAATTCTGCGCAATATTCGCCTGCAATGAGCTTTTTTGCTTATCTTGCTCAATTGCTCTCACGCCGACTCGTATTGCCCCGCATCGAGGTCGCTTCGTCCATCCGAGATGTCGAGATTGGGATGGGTTGGTGGGTCTACGGCGGCATGGCGATAGTGCTTGATGCAACCTCAGAGGCCAAGACGGGCATCGCAGCATCCTCGGGGTGAGTTGAGTGGTGTAAGGTGGAGGCTATAAAGGGTCCGGCAGATGCAGGTACAATGCGATCGAGGCCTTGATCTACAAGGCTCTCAGGTCTGAAGTCGGCGAAGAAAATCGATCGAAATGGTTGCTTGGAAAGCCTCTGTCGCGGCATTGGCCGGCGTCGCGAGTCTCGTCTCGGCCTCTTCGAAGAGGGACGAGGTTGCGCCTACGATCGAGAAGACTACGGTCCCTGGCGCATTCATCCTCGAGCTTGCTGACGACCAGGTTAGTTGATCTAGGTTTTCCGCAAACATGATATTAACACCTGTCCAGGATGCCGCCAGTCTCATGGCCAAGCTCGATTCGGAAGCTGGCCTCGCCAAAGTCTCGCAACGCTTGGCCCTCAACTCCAAGATCTTCAAGGGTGTCTCCGTCAATGTCGAGAACGCCAGCGACGAGACGGCTGCGAAGATTGCCAGCCTGGCGCAGGTCAAGCAACTCTGGCCTGTGCCCCTGATCTCTGTGCCCAAGCTCGACATCACCTGGACTGGAAAGGACAAGTCGACCACCTCAATGTACAAGCGCCAGGCCAACTCGACCGATACCTGGCCGCCTCATGTCATGACCCAAGTTGACAAGCTTCGCGACAAGGGGTACACCGGCCAAGGTCTCAAGATCGGCATCGTCGACACGGGCATCGACTACACCCATCCGGCACTGGGCGGCTGCTTCGGGCCTGGCTGTCTGGTAGAGTACGGCGAGGACATCGTCGGTGACTCGTATGACGGCACGAACACCCCCGTGCCAGACGATGACCCGTTCGAGAACTGCCTGGGCCACGGGACCCATGTTGCCGGCATCATTGCGGCTATGGAGAACCCCATGGGCTTCACTGGTGCAAGCCCCGATGTCAAGTTGGGCATGTACCGAACCTTTGCATGCAACGGCCAGACGACGGGCGATGTCCTCATGGCCGGTGTGATCAAGGCCTTCGAGGATGGTTCGGACATCATCACCGGCTCCATCGGCGGACCAAGCGGATGGGCCGGCGAGGCGTTTGCCCTTACTGTCGCGAGGATCGTGGATGCTGGCGTTCCTTGCACTTTTGCAGCAGGCAACGAGGTCGGCGGCACCGAGGGTCTGTTTGGAATCAGCACGCCGAGCACCGGCGATGGAGTCATATCCGTATCTTCATACCAGAGCCAAGGCGCGGACAGCCCCGGAACGGTGTCCGCTTACACCAGCTGGGGCCCAACCTTCGAGCTTACTCTGGCTCCAAGCTTCGGTGCGCCTGGAGCCGGTATTCTTTCGACTTGGCCGGTAGCCCTTGGTGAGTATGCCGAAGCATCTGGAACTTCCATGGCAACGCCTCTTGTGGCTAGTATCGTTGCTCTCGTCTCCCAGGTAGGCCGAAACCCGATAATAGGCATAAGTGCAAGTCAGCTGACACCGATAGGCACGAGGAACAAGAGACCCCGACTTGATCAAGCGTCTTCTCGCATCCACCGCAAAGCCGAGCCTCTCCCAAAACTACGGTGTCCCCAACATCGACGCCGGCCTCGGCCCCGTCCCGCAACAGGGCGCCGGCATGGTCCAAGCCTACGACGCAGCCTACGCCACATCCGTCGTCAACGTCGCAGGTCTTTCCTTCAACGACACCGACAACCTCGTCTCCGAGGCATCTTTCACGGTGACCAACGTCGGCGACTCGCCCGCCACGTACAACGTCTCCCACGTCCCGGCTCTGACGGCGATCACGCTGTCTGATATTTACCGCAGCAGCTCCCCGGACCTGGAGACGGTCTACGCCAGTCTGACCTTTGAGCCTTCCTCATTCACCCTCGAGCCGAATGCTACAGGTGAAATTCGTATTAGTGTAGTTCCGCCCCAGGGCCTCAACGCTGCTTCCCTGCCTGTGTACTCCGGCTGGGTTGCCATCAACGGCACCAACGCCGACGGCGAGATCGCACTTTCCGTGCCGTATATCGGTGCCGCGGGCTCAATGAAGAACGTCACTGTCCTGGCGTCGAATCGTATCTGGCTCAGCCGCAGCGACGACCCGCTTGGCTCTGAGGTCGCAGCCAACACCACCTTCCAGTTTGCTGCCCCCGCTGAGCATCCCGACTGGGCGCAGCCTCTGCTCAACACAACGGATCTGGTTCTGCCGGTTGGCGCGCTGCCTGATCAGTTTGTCTGGCTGGTCATGGGCAGCGCTGAGGTCCGCGTGGAGATTGTTCCGCTGGAGGAGAACCCTGACGCGAAGGACAATGGGCTCGGGGTCGTCACGCTAGGCAATGTCGCGGGATACCCGGTGACATACCGCAGACCCATCGGTTGGACGAGCCCGTGGGACGGTACGTTGGCTGACGGGTCTTGGGTTCCGGCTGGACGGTACCGTCTCAGCATCTTTGCGCTTAAGATCGCGGCGGACAGGACTGTGCCTGAGGGCTGGGACCGGTACGACTCTCCCGAATTCTTCGTTCGGTATGTAGATGCGTAGAGACCTATAAACGGCGTCTGAAGACGCTAAAGTTCGTGGATATAAAGGTCTTGTATTATAGTGAGATCAACTGGATAAATATCCTCAGCCACTCAAGGCTTCACCGAGCCCGATCCGTATGTTGTCTTGTAGAACTGGTTTGTTTCAATCTCCTCCATTCCGATACCTTGCAACGCAATCTTCTTGACGTAAGCAGGATCGAAGTTCTGGTTGAGGTACTCGATGATCATTGACAGACCGGCTCCCGCTCCGCCTGCCGTCCAGAGCTCGCCCTTGCCTTCGCCGTCGTACTCCTTCTCCTCGACAACCCATCTTTGGTCAAGCCACTCGGTGTCGGGGTGTACCTGCCTCGCAAACGCCAAGAACTCCCGGTTGACTGTCGCCTTCTTTCCCTTCAGCACGCCTGCACTGGCCAACCACGGCGAGCCGATGCAGGTTGTCATCCAGACGCGGGTCTTGGCAAAAGCCTCCTTCATAAAGCGGTCGGCTTGAGGTGGTCTATGGGAGGGGAGAGGTCCGCCGATGAGGACAAGATCAAGGTCGCGCGGGCAGTCGTCGTAGGTGATGTTTGGGACAAACTTGAGGCCTGGTGTCATCTCGGCTCGCTCGAGAGTAGAAGAGATGAAGTAGAACTTGATCTCGGGCGCGAGTCCCTCGAAAGGAGCGAAGCCTGGGTCGAAAGCCTTGACCTTGTCGTAATACTCGAGCGAGATGTTGCCAAACAGGTCGATGCCCATGATGTCGCTCAGCTGAACGGCTTCGAGCATTACTCCAATGCGGAGAGACTTTTTATCGCCAAGCTTTGTCGCCATTTTCAATCTTGCGGGTCGCAGTTGGTTGTAGGTTCAGGGGAAGCGTCGTTAGTCGGACTGGTCAGATCTGATGAAGGTGGATTTGTCTGTTGCTGAGTCTTTGAGCGAGGTGCGGATCGCGACCATTTATACTTTGTATGCAAAGGGCCCGAAATAGGCATGTCGTCGTCTCCTGCAAGGACCGGGTCCCTCTGGATACAGCTGCCTTTTGCAGTCTTTTGCAGTTGTTCGCCTTACTCAGCGCCGTCACGGGACCTCAAACGCGGAGGGTCGCGACGGTCTCCAGCGGCTCCAGCGCGGCCCCTTGCGCTAAATGGTTCATCGTCCGATGCGTCGCTTGCAAACTCCACAAAGAGCCGAGAGGCAGCGGGAAGTCTAGCTGAAAGAGAGTGGAAGTTTGCTTGACGGTGGTGGAGATGGAGTCCGGGAGACAGAGAAATGGGGCATTGGTGGAACCTCGACCGCGCCGATCGACGATTTAGATCCGATGGATGTCGGATGTTAGGCTGTCCCTCTTTATCCGGAGCGGGGACTGTTGGTCGGACCGTCGGAGATGATGCCCGCTCGGCTTTTGGCTGCATCCTCCGCAACACAATCACAAGAGCGCGGTCATTGTTCATCGGCCAGTCGAGTTTTGTTGGGGGCTGTCGGGGGTTGAGGGTGATGATCGGCTCCGGTGCCAACTCGCAGATTCGGAGCCGAGACGCTGGGGGCCTGCAACAACGGTTGATATTGAAGAATCAGTTGCGACCGCCTGGAGATGTTGCTGACTTTACTTACGACGGGTTTCAAGGAGACGTGATTGCTTTCTGTGTTATTGTGTGAAGGTGAAGTTTTCAAGTGGAGGAAGATGCAGCACCAGTCAATAGTGGGAAGGAACAGAGGCAACGGGGTCCTGCTCTTTCCTCACTTGCAACTCAACTCACGAGGGGCAGGAGCTGCCTCCCATGGAGCGGAAGCTGCTCAACTGCTCTTGCCCAAGTAGGTCGTCTGCACCATGTCGACACTTTTGACTGCCAAACTATTCCACCCCTTTCCTCCCGTTCTTAACATATTGTCGTCGTCGGGTGTCACTTTACAAGACGCGGATCAGTCGTTCAATTCTTTCGTACATCTATTGTTCATCTCAACACTCTTGCAATCGAACCAAGGCCTGAACCTGGCCGTTTCGATCCACCGCCATGGAAGAGGTAGAGCCGAGTCCGCGAGAATATGCCCGTAGGGAAGGCCTGTTCATCAGCGCGAACAGGCACATCTCAACCCGGACTAAAGCCATCTTTGACCAGCTGCAAAAGTCGCCCTACTTTCCGATTACTGCCACCGTCGAAGATGCAACCGACCTCTCTGCACTGGCCATCCCTGATCCGGTCTTCCCTCCAGAGACCGACTTCCAGAAGGGGAACCTCGACAATGCGGTGACCAAGATCATCGGGATCGATGACGAGGCCGACATGATGAAGCTGGCTCTGGAAGCAAGCTATCCTCAGCGTCGGTTTGCGACGGCAGTGAGCAAGATGGAGCTCCCGGCTCTCCGATCCGACCCGAGGCACGACTCCAAAGCCTTCAGCAAGACTATCTCTGAGGCGAAGCTGCATGATTTCTTTCGCCGACCAAACCCCCTCGTCATGGAGCCTGTTGATGAGGATAAAGACGAAGGCCTTGCGCTGCCCAAGTCTGCTCGGCATTTCCATGATCAGCTCGCTAGAGGAGCCGAGCCCGAAGAGATCGACTACACCGAAGAGGACCTGACGTACGTGGCCGAAGCTGTGTATCAAGAGTGGACGAACAAAGACCTTGAAGACTTGATCTTCCTCGAGATGTCTAAGCGGGTGGGTTGACGCGTGCCATCGAAAGAGATAATGCACTAACACCTCATGCAGGACCGCGTACAGTCCATGACACCCCCTCTGATGCCACCGCCACTTGATTCGGAGCCGGAAGAGGAATTCATACCAACCAGTGAGGCTTGCAGACTGGAGCCTTTGTCCGACCCCGACAGTCTCATTGAGTATGACTTGGACACAGCTGGTAAACTAATGGATGAGATGATCATGGAAACGATCCAACCTGACGTGGATGTGACGGAGATGATTGGGTTTCCATCCGACCCCCCGTTTCTGGATATTTTTCCATCGCCACAGCTCGCCCAGGACCTGAAGATGGAGGTGCCCGTCTTGTGCAAGCCTGAAGAGCCTCCATCGGCCAGTCAAGACGAAGCCTCTTGCCGAGCGCTTCTGAACACAGTTCCATGCCTGGGGTCCAAAGATGAAGATATTGAAAGCGATTCCATGAAGGAGGCAGACGCCAAGTTTGAAAAGGACTTCAGTCTTTTACTCGAGGACAAGACCGCAGAGTTGACGAGGATAGCGGAGCAAGAGCAGATTCATGTTGCTGATGCCATTGCCAGATTTCAGCCCCCGGTCGTCGACTTCAGTATCCCAGAGTCACAATGGTCTGGGATTCCTGCCAAAGGGGCGTCTGATATGTTCCGTTGGATCTGCCTCGAATTTGATGGTCAAAGGAAGGCGCCAACTTGGCCCAAGATGCGGTCTGAGAATATCGAGCTGAAGTGGCAACCCTTCAACGCGTCGTTGGGTTCTGTCAATTTGAAAGAGACAGTTGGCGATGACCGTGTTCTTCAGCAAATTTTCGATTGCCGCAGCGCCCGTCTACCCACCAGCGCCGACTGCGTCCGTAGGGAGTCAGGGCTGAAGATCCTTCGTGAAGACGACGAGGAGGAGCTGCCTATGCCCTATTACGAGGACGACGAGGACCTTTTCGAAAACGGCCCCGCCATCGACTTACTGAGTGTCATCAAAAAGCGCAAGATGGCAGAGCTTGTTGGCGGACATGATGCTGAGCTTGAATCTCCCACAGTTGGGCACAAGTTTCGCCGCACTACCAAACGTCGAAATGCAACGAAAGACAGCAGCGGATGCTTGCTCTTGGGCGAAAACGAGCCCAATGCTACAAGCAAACTCCTGGACAATCACTTGCTGCTACATCCCTCAAACAAGTCCCGGTCGGAGACAATGAGCCACTTCTTTCCAACACCAGACCGAAGTACCAGATCACCGATGACGAGAGCAAGGAACCCGGAGAATTCACTGAAACTTCCGACCTCCCAGCCTGAACGGCAATTACCAAGTATAGTTGCCCCTCTCCCTCCGGTTCTAACCATAGAGGGCAAGACCCATATCGTAATTTCCACCACCCTTCCTCGAAATATCATGGCCGCAATCGACAGCCTTCCTGGCATAGAAAGTATTGACCGAGACTTCTCCCGATACAACAACACCATTTGGTCACCAAACAGCGCTCAACTATCGACAGCAATTTCTCCGCTCTTTTTTGAAGCCGACATTATACCATCTCCAGCAACTGGCATCATCATTACCACCATGCTCCAAGTTGGCCAGAAGGCGCCATTGAACTCCGGACAACAGCTGTCAAAGCTTCGTGAACGCGTGGCCAAAGTCGCACCACGTTACCAGCGGCTCATAATCGTAGTATCGGAAAGTAGCAGTGAAGAATATGTTGGGCCCCTTGGGAAGAGCAATGTCGATTCTTACAACTCCTTCGTTGGGTTCGCATCTGGCGTTGGCATCTCCACCGATTGCGTCATCAGAGTCATCTACATTGGAGGCGGTCCCACTACCCTTGAGACATGGACGTGCGCCCTGGTATCAACATACGTCAAGGAGAATATCGCAACCGCACGATACATGCTGATGATGGATGAGACCGAGTGGGAGGTATTCTTTCGACACGTGGGACTGAACGTCTACGCGGCACAGCTCATCATCTCCTTGTTCAGAGGATGTTTTGGGCCCCAGGAAAAAGAACCACTCGTACGATTCTTCAGGATGCCTGCCGCGCAAAAGGCACAGGTCTTTGGGCGATACCTGGGAGAGAGAGGACACGACGTGTTGAACAGAGTCAGTGCGCGTCTGGAATACGACAGCACGCCCTCCCGGAAGCCGACGAACCCATCTGCGGCTGTAGCAGCGCCGTTCGGACGAATTTGAGTAGCAGTGGTCGCCGCGTGCATGCGGACGTGCGCGCTCGCATCACGTTGCAGACACGACCTGCTGGCTCGGGCGGGAAGAAAACAAGGTTCTTTTCAACCTACTTTCCTCATGTGATCTAGATCGGACTTCATGTCCACATTTTTCTTTCTTGGGGCGATTTTGAGACGCGGGACGCGTTTGCAGTTTCTTCGGGGAGGGGCCGACTGTGTCTGTAGGACGTTTATCTCTCTTGGAATGCCGAAAGAAGGTGCATGCAGATGCAGGTAGATGCAAGTCTAAGATTTGAGTGCTATTGAAGAATAAACAATCAAGAAGGTATTCATCCGATAACAAAGCTAATGGAGTTTTCCCCCTTTCGCACACAAACCGCCGCATCGCCAGGCTCCGGCCAGCCTCGGCCCTTGTGGTTATGCTTCCCTTTCTATGCATATCGAACACCGAAAACGCCATTGAGATCATCTGGCTTTTACATGTAATATTATACAGGCTTATGATTTTGAAATGAAAAGGTCGAATTGAAACATTATGTACGTAGTGTTGTGTAATGCGCGCTCTTTAAGTGAAAAATGTCATCAATCTATTGGGCGGTGGGAGGGATGATGTTGCCGGCGTCGAGCGCCTGGACGGCCTGGGGCGACTTGAGGATGCCGTTCATGAACTTGTCAAGCTCGGACTGGTCAGGCATCTGGAAGTCGGCGCCCTTGAAGGGGGGCAGGACCTTGGTGCACTCGGTGAGATCGTTCATGTTGGGAACGCCGAGGAGGGACATGCGGACGTATTCGGAAGAGTAGGCCTGGTGGGTGTTAGAAAGGCTTTACATAGAAGAGGGATAGGAGAGGAACGTACCTGGTTCCAAGCCATTTGGCCACGACGGCCGGCACCGAACGCCTTCCAGGTGTCGATGACCTTGGGGTCCTGGGAGATGCTGACGTCGGAGGGGATCTTGAAGACGGCGGGCGGGGTCCTGGG